GATGCGAGGCAGCGGGCGCGTATCCCGTATCCGAAATGTGCTCCCACTCATATGTCTCTTCAGAGATGTCCTACAACAGACTATATATTTAGATTGGATTATAATCTACATAAGTGGTCTTTATTCCAAAGCAAAAACATCTTTGCTATAGCACTCAAATTGTGCGTTCATGGTCTCAGTTTCCACTATACAATCCTCCCTGAAGCTTATTAAACGAGTACTGACAGTAAGAAATGTCTTTATACTTTGAATGCCAAGTTTTTTGTTAGTCTCCACAGATCCTCTTTTGCTGAAAATGAGGTTTTAGAAACACTTTTGCTTTTGCAAACCTCTACAAAAATCTGTTTGCATAAGCCATAAGATGATGTAATGGTCCCCCTATACAATGGTTTTCTAACACAATATAACAGAAGCGCTTGCGACTTGTGGGTGGAGAGGAGGGAGCAGGGAGAGGGAGAGAAGAGGCGCTGGCACGCTAATTTGAAACACGGCAAGTTCAAAATTAGCTGTTTCTGCATCACAGAAGATAGTCGGCGTTTAAAAGTTGACTTCCTATTGCTTTTCTTCACTCACAGAGTGATATGAGATCACTGATTTCTTTTCTTTGTTTTTTTTGCAAATCTTCGACTTACCTTTCCCTTAATTATCGTATGCGCAGTTTGCCATTTGAGTTCTTGTGTCATTTAATTGAACTTTTCTATAGCTACTGTGTCTCAACATGTTCCAATAGAACAATTGTTCTCGAGCTTGATTTTGTAAGTGACTATAAGATCTCCTTTTTACTATATGATTAAGTACGATGACTACACAAAACTTGAAGGAAGAAAGGACGCCAGCCTATGATTCAAGAAACATGCGAATCCCAGTATTTGGCGAACAGAGAACTGATGTGGTCTTCTAACAGGTCGAAAATGAAGAGAAATAGAAAGAAAAATTTAACAACCCTACTTTCTCTCGCCTGCAAACAACCGCGCTCCAACTCTGAAATGTCATCGCACCCTTTCTTTCCCTCCATCCGACGCAAATGTTTCCATTATTTTGTGTTGAGAACAGATTATACGTAAGTGTTCGAGGTAAATATGATCGGTTTTGATTGTTAAGAGTTCTCATAATCCTTAGTCCTTTCGAGCCTTTAACCAAAGGATAGTTTGATTATTTTCAAAAAACTAAGAACCTAAAACTACTGCAGAGGACAGTTTAGAAACCAAGCGGCTCCATAGTTTTCATGCACTAGCAACGTGCCAGGGACAGTCTAGGATGCTATAATTTGTCCGACAGTTATATTCGGTAGGCTGCGCACGCTTGCTAAACACTAATTAGTTATACCAGAATCACGTACAATCTGTTTCGAAGAATGGATTACATACTTCCGCGTACAGAAGCGTCGTACACACGCGCGTGGTGCTCTCACATTTATTTTTATGTCGCTGCGGGGTAGTGCGGCTATTCACGTTCAATCTTAGTCGAAAGTACTAAATGGAGCGCTAAAGCTACATTAGTCTACATTGTCTCACGGCTGTCGCCAAAGATACAAGAT